AAAAAAAAAAAAAAAAAAAAAAAAAAAAAAAAAAAAAGCATGGGATATATAGCTCAGTGCGAAGGTCGTAGATTCAATTCCCAGTAGGGGAGGGTGGTGGGGGAACTAAACTGATGTGCAGACCAAGGTCTGAAAGTGAAATAGCTTTAAATTTATAACCCTTGAGCAGCAACAAGGTTATATGTTTTTTTGAGACAGGGTCTCACTCTGCAGTTCAAGCTGGCCTGAAACATGCACACATCCTAGGCTGGGCTCAAACTTGCAGTCCTCTTGCCTCAGCCTCCCAGGCTGCTAGGATTATAAGAGTGAGCCACCAAGCCCGGCTACAAAGTCTTTACATGGCCAATTCCTTGTCACACCAGATTCAACTTAAATATTCTCTCTTCAGTCAGTTCTTCCACTGTGCCAGTTTAAGTTCCTTCCCTCCACTGATCCAGCGTAAGTCCACCTCCTGCCAGGGCAGCTGCTAGCTGCCAAGAAAGCAAGTCCTGAGGTGTCCTTGTAGCTGAACTTGTGGGGGACGAAGGAGCAGTGGGTACAAGGCAGGGCTGACAGGTCAGGGCTGGAACTCCTGAGTCCAGAGAATCTGCAAAAAGAATTACAATTCATGCCACCCACCTGACCTATAAATACTGAGGGGACTACTGCAAAAGGGTCATGGTGCAGAGAGCAAAGAGTGACAGGCACCGAGGCAGCGTGACATCAGGCAATGGTGCAGGTGTTTCACAGTGGGCCATGACACCAGGAGGGCTTGACGGTCTCCCGAGTTTTACTTGATGGCCGCTTCTGAGGTGAGACTGCCCTGCAAGCAAGTCTGCTTAACCCAGCACAGGGGAAGAAAACCAGCGTTACTGTGATAATGAGGGAGGTCTAGGGTCAAAGAGAAAGCAAAAAGGGGAATGTGAGCAGTATGCAAAGGAGCAGAAGAGCACGATGAGGAAGAGGAGAATTTCATCATGGCCTTTGGGTCGCATTGTTCTGCCCGGTCACTAACATCCAATGTTAGTTTTTTCTGTTCTTGTTTCTTCAAACCTTCCATTTCTGCATAGGGAAAACTATAATATTTTTTTTCCCAAGGTATGCTGAGACTCTCAAATTAGTACTCCAGTTTGATGTACCTCACATCAGCGTAAGATCAGTCTATTTCCTGTTAAATTAGCTAAAATCATGAGAAGAGTGCAGCACATGAAAGTACTCAATGAGGGCCGGGGATTTAGCTCAGTGGTGCCGCCACCGCCTTGCAAGCGCAAGGTCCCAAGTTCAATCTCCAGTACCAAAAAAAAAAAGGACTCAATGAATTTTTATTATTGTTAATAACAATCCATGTGACTACTCTTTTTTTTTTGGTACCGGGAATCAAACTCGGGTCCTTGCGCTTGCAAGGCAGGTGGCGGAACCACTGAGCTAAATCCCCGGCCCTATGTGACTACTCTTGATAATATGGACAAATTAACCTTGAGCTTTTTACAACCCTTTAAATAAGAAATGACGATATTATACAATATTAATGTATAATAAAGCTTTAATACTAAAAGTATCTCAAAGTATCAGATTCTTTAAAAAAAAATCACAATTTCAAGTAAAAGCCTTTTCTGAAGTAACATATCATTCAATTAGGATATTAATAAGGCAACCTAGCTCAGCAATTCAGGGTCATGAAAATGATCAATTATTTCTAATTCTGTAACGTCTTTTATCTTTTAGGCACCTCCAGCTGTTTATCTCCACCTAAATGGCCCTAAAGGCAGACTCTGATCCATGTTGCTGTGTGCTGCATTCCTTTGTCCTGAAAGATGGCTCCTTCCACTGTTCATTCCTGACAATGCCCCATGGATTCCAGTGCCGCCCTTCCCTATCCATCTGCAGGCTTGAAATCCAATTAAAGAAACGGCTCAGAGTCAGGTATGGCAAAAATGATCAGGCTGGGCATATTCCTAATGTACACTGTCTTGTCAGCAGGTTTCTTAGGTCCTTTTCCAAAAAGTAGTTTCACAGCTGTTTTCTAAATGGGAGCTTGCTGGGGAGCTGGGCTCCAGATAGATGGGATTTCCCTGAGCTTTTATGTTAGACATTTTCCATGTCTACTTTATGGATCAGTGGACAGAAAGTACACCGTGGCACTGAGGAGCTGACTGCTAGCCACTGGTGGCCCACCATGCCCAGGCTCTCTGTTAGCGCTGCCCCCGGACACTGGCTGCCCTGCCCTGCCCTGCTCTGCCCTGCCCTTCAAAGGCCGGGCCAAAGATGGCCTCCAGCTGGAGACGGCCCCTCCCCTAGCCACGCAGCTGCTGGAGCTGAGTCCGAGGGGACTGAGAGAAAGGTATGACTTGCTCCAGCTGGGGACTCTCCTACAGTGCTGGAACAAGTGCTGAGCATCTGGACTGGGGCTGGGAGGAAGAGAAAGAACCAGCCAAGCTAACATCTGCGGTGAAGCAGAGAAAACAGCCAGTACTGTGGTCATCACCACTCCTGGGGCCCATGCAGGGAGCAGTAGTGAGTCCCTCAGTCTGACTGTAGGAGGGGGTCTGGAATTGCTCATCACACAGTCGATGTAAGGGGAGAGAGGGTTTTTCCACACGGCCCATCCAGGCACCAGGCACTGTTCCTTATTCTCACCCCATCTTTACTTCATCCACATCTTTTTCTTCTACTACACACTAAAATCTTGTGCATGTATCTCTCTGTAAGCTCCTTTACTGGGAAATGTGGTTTAGGTCATTGCACTCCAAAATCAGTCCCGGGACTGAGGGGATACTCCACTTTGACTGCAGATACACATTCCTAGGCCCACCTGGGAACCACTGAATCCACACCCTTAGGGGCTCACTCAAGAATCTTTTTTATTCTTTTAAATCCACTCGACCTTGGTGTGTCACTGGGTTTAGGAACCACTGGTGTTTCTGTAAAGGAGCTATGTATGGTGGGCCCAGGTGACAATAACAGAGTGAAAGAGGGAAAGGCAAACAAAAAATGAGATGGAAGAGCTTGAAAAAAAAAAGATGAACAAATGTAGTTTTCTTCCCCCTTGAATTCTAATTTCAAAACAGATCTATCAAGCTATAAATTTATATGCAGCACAGCCACCTCTGATCTCCCAGGGGCCAGACCCTTCCTGCTATTTAATTAGGCTGTATTCCAGTCTCATATCGGAGGGAGGAGGGCAGACTGGGCCCCACTCCCTGGAGAGCATTAAGCAGCAAGGCCTTTCAAGGAAAGCTCTGGCTTTCTCAGATACCACAGCACAGGTCCACAACCCCAGAACCCTCCCAGAGTATCTTTAGCCATCAGCACATCTGGGACTCAACTATGTAGGGACCAGAATTGCCCTTGGTCAGAAATGGGAAAACCTTCAACTTTCTTGCAAGAGGTGGCTGCATCCGGCCTCTGAAGACAATAGGTTCGGCTCTTCCTAACCCCTCCTCTCTCCTCACTGTGACTCTCCCGTGTAGACTGCGACTGTGTACTTACTATGTCACCTTGAATCATTCTTTATCCCTCAGAAAGTGTTATAAGCTCCTCTCCTCAAATAGGCTCTCAGCTCTCTGGGGCAGGGAAAACGTGACTTTAATGAGGCCTTCGTGTGTCTCTGAGCTGGCTGCCATACTTTAGAAGGGCACGGGCCTGCCACTGAAGCTGAAGCAGCAGGAGAACAGCTTCCCATTACTGCAGTAAAAGGAGGATCAGGGGTCGGGGGCAAGGAGACAGTGGCTGCCTCTCCCTGTGCACAGGGAGGCTGCTCCACCTGGCCGGCACTGCCGTCTTAGAACAGCCAGAGGCTTTGGGCACTCAGGCTGTGTTCGTCTAACTGTGAGCCCCACCCCTGCCTTTGGTCCCAAGGGGTGGGAAAATCGCTTTCTGTCTCTGAGCTCTTTGCTCCCATCACAGCCCACGGAGGCTTTGAAGGCCAGAGCTGAGGGGCAGCACTGCAGAGCAGCAGCTGCCACAGCTCTATGTTTCTGCTTCCCAAGGACCTTGTCTGGATGACCCTTCTTTTGTCTCACACCGAAAGCCTCTTATAGCAAATAAGCCAGACAACACCGTCACCACTACTTAGAGCATGGGGGCTGAAGCAAGGACGAGGACGAGGCAAAGCCTAAAAGTTCTAGGTGAGTTATCATTTTGTGTCTAAATACTGGGCCACCCCTTCAGAAGACTATCCAGCTCAACTCTGAGGCTTCTAGAAGAAACTACCACCCAGGAGCCAGGCTACCTAGAAAACATTCAAGTTAAAGATTTTGAAGTAAAAGAGGATTTTTTGAAGTAATATTGTAATACCAAAGTAACCAAAACAAACAGCCCACGCAAGCTTTCTTCCTTTGTCACAGGCAGTTATTTGTAATATACCACAAACACCTGCAGATCTTTCCTCACATCCTGACGAAAATAGAACCTTTCAGATTCCATGCTTTTTCTTGGTTATTTTTTTTTCTTTTTTTTTTTTTTTTTGGTACCGGGGATTGAACTCGGGTCCTTGCGCTTGCAAGACAGGCCACCGAACCGCTGAGCTAAATCCCCAGCCCTTTTTCTTGGTTATTGATGTTCTATTAATTTCCCCAAATGCAATCTTCAATCCTAGCTAGAATAAGTTATTTCAAGTTTCTTTATCACTGGCATTCTATTCTATTCTACCTTGAGAAGGAACCACACTGTTTTGGTTCTTTTCTAGATTTTTCCTTCACCCTGTCTCCTCCCTCTGTGACCTCTGTAGTGAGAAGCCCAGAATGTTCTGTGTAGTAAAGCTGAAGATGCAGGAGCCTTTGTTGGGAGGAGGAAAGAGTCAATCAATATCTTCACAGGCGCTTACAGGGCAGGGAAAGATGGGGAAAATAAGTCACCTACAACAAAGAAACCATCTCTATTATTTTCCACATGCACTTAGGATGGAAAAATGCTAAACTAATGGGAATTTTCACATTTAAAGTAGGACCCCTCTCACCCACCCAGCTGCTGAGCAGATTAAATGGATTTTGTTAGGGGCTCAGCCATCCATGAAAGTGAAAATTGAAAGCGAAAACCATGAGGTGACCTTTGACTGCAGGTAGCCAAGACTGATGTATTTCAAAAGAAAAAAAAATATCAAAGCAGTCAATTGCCTAGAGATTCATAACGAGGGCAGGAGACAGGAGAGATACAGTTCTGAGGGAACTCGAGATCAGCACCACGGACAGCGCCCGGGTGGGTCCGCAGCGCTAGCCGGGGTAAAGCTCTCTCCAGGAACAGATGTCAGTGGATCGATAAAGGGAGCGTGCACGCGCACGCGTGGGGGTGGGTAGCGCAGGGCGATTGTTACTAGTTCAGTCTCCACCCAGCTCCTGAGTTCTCCATCTCCATACGTTTGAAGGCAAAAATCAAGAAAATGGGCACAGCTCTTTCTGGCTCCCGACCTTCAGGCAGACCATAAATATCAATTCTGCAGCGCACAGAAAGCCTTTCAAAGCCAGACCCGGTGGCCGGCACAGCAGTCCGGACCGGGTCAGTGACGGCCTGCGCGCTCCCTCTGGGCGGTTGTCCAGGCCCGGATGTGCCCGACCGCTCGCTGATGGAGGGTATTGGTCAAACTTTTAAGACTCCGAAAAAGCTTAAGTGTTTCTTTGTTAGAAGAGAACGTAACCGAGGGGCGGGGAAGGAGAGCTTCTTCTTGGGTACCCAGGCTCACAGTGGAGCCCGCATGGGTCCGCCTGCCAACGCCCGAGTCGAGGCCCTCCCCGCCCTTGCCGAGGACGGGGCCCTCACCTGGTAGCCGGCCACCTCGGCGCTGTGCCTTTCCTCCAGCTCCAGGATCTGCCTCTCCAGTGACTCGTTGGCCCCGCGCAGGCCCTCGATCTCGATGGTGCGTGCTTGGAGCTGGCGCCGGTACTCGTGGATCTCCTCGCGGCTGGCTCGGATGGCCTCGGTGCTGCGCGCCGCCTGCTCGTTCAGGTTGGCGAACTTGGACTTGTACCACTCCTCGGCGGACTGCAGGTTCTTGGCGGCCAGGGACTCGTACTGCGCGCGGATCTCCCTCAGCGCCGAGCTCAGGTCTGGCTTGGCCACCGCCACGTCCACCTCGGCCGCGGCATGCGATGAGGCCTGCAGGGTGGCCAGCAGCTCGGCC